GTCGGGTCCAGAATCCCTCCCGATCCCGGATGGCTTTAACCCCGATCCGCGCTCAATCCTCTGCCGAGCCCGGGCTCTAATTTTGCTGGAGGCAGAGATGCTCTCCCATCCATTTTGCCTGTTTTCTTCCCCAAAATTCTCCTTTTCTGATTGCCTCATGTAAGAGCCAGCGAGTTGAACAGCCTCACTCCCACCCCCTCAGCTTACGAGTGACGAGGGGACCTTCTCATGGGGGAAAGTCCTCTCTGTCCTCCTGCCAAATCCGCAGGCGTTTGGAGAAACTTTTCCATTTCCGTGAGGCTTCACACCTGTTTTTCCTCATCCTTTTTTTTCACTAAAAATGAATGTTCTGGCCCCAAGTGATGCTGTAGGAGTGGCGGGGGGGGGAGGCTGGGGAGATGCTCTGCCCTGAAAACGCTCCTTGATGGCCTGGAGCTGCTTAAAGGTGCGATCCCCCACCCTTGGCCCCATTGCAGCAGGACCCTTTCCTCTCTAAATTTCCCCCATTTTGGTGTCCTTGTTTGCCCTCAGCGTGGGGAAAGGGTGCTGGGTGCTGAGTTTCCTCCAACGTGGGAAGAAACAGGGGGAAATGGGTGTCCATCGGGTCTTTATTCCCACGCGATGGGGTTGTACCGCTCTGCGTTGGCCTCGCTTGGGCCACTGCGATGTCACTGGGACCTCCCTCACCCCCCCCGGGGGTCACCCCTGGGGTAAATCCCACCCTGTATCCCTTGGGGCAGGTTCCCATCTCCCTAGGGGGGTCCCTGCTTCCCACTTCTAGTCCGAGAGGATGCTCCTCCTAGTTACGTCCGAAACGATCCCTTGTACTCGTTTCATGGGAGACCTGGCTCTGTTTTTCCTCCTGTCGAGCCTGGGGGGCAGGGCTGGGAAGAGTTTTTCCCTGGGGTGGGGAAAGATGATCAGTCGACTTCCCGGTAGCGTCCCATGCCGAGCGGCACGGCCGGGGACAGCGGGAGAGGTGACACCCCACGGAAGTGCCAGCGCTGCATCAGGTGAAAGCATTGACTGGCATCACCACAATAATAAGGATCATTGCTCTTATTAATGCCACTTACGGAGGGCCGCAGATTCCCAGGAGAAGGGGTTGCCTGTAAGCTATGTGTTAGCAGCATCATTTACTCCGAGGAGGCTCCCGAGCGAGCGCCCGCGGCTCTTTGCTCTCTGCAATTGCGGCTCTGACAGGAGCGGGGGTGCCGCCCGTCTTCTGCAACACGCCGCTTTGATCTCTCTCGGGACCCACCTTGTTATTTCTGCTTTTATGATTCCCAGCTCAAGTCCCAGCCCTGCAATTTGCCTGGTTAGTAATTGCCACTTGAGCAGTCGGGAGTCTCTTGCTCCTTCACTACTCCACAAAACGGGGTTTTCTCGACTGAACACGGTCCCAGCGCAGCTTTGGGGTGAAAATGGGTACATTTGGGCTCTCTGGTTTTGCTCTGCTTTCCCCCAGGTGCTGCAGCGTGGATGCTGCTTGTGCTTTGAGCCTGTACTAGTGGTCCCCTCTCCCCTTGGGCTACAGGGATACCTGTGGGTGTGGATATCCGGGGTATCCAGCTCCGGGCTTGATGCACGGGGTTGTCCAGAACCTTTTTTAGCCCCCCAGCGAGGGCACATCCCCTCTTCCCACCCTTCTTTGCTGGGAGAGGAGCCAGCCTGTGGGTGCAACAGCTGATGCAAAGAGCTCTGTGGAACTCACCTGCCCGCCCTGGTTTAATTTCTCCCTTTCTTCCCTCTGCTTTGCATGAGAGACCTGGCCTGTGGGGATAACGAGCAGTGAGACCGGAGAGCCCAGCATCAGCCTTCGGCAAGGGGCTGTGCTCGCTGCCGGGGGCTCTGATGCCCATCAGTGGCTTTGAGAAGCTTTCCTGGCTCTGAAATACTCCCAGTATAAACTGGTGTTGTGGCTGAGGGACTGTGCTGCTTCCTAATGATCCTAATGAGAGATGCTGAGCACCATCAGCTCCTGGGAGGATAAATCCCAGTTTCTGTCCAGGCACGGTGTCCGGTGCAGAAAAGGGTCACGTCCTGCCATGGTTCATCTCCTGCTAAGGTGCACGGAGTGTGGCAGCTCCTCTACTGAGCCTGGAGACCCTCGTGTCCCCACACAGGTATCTGCCGGCAGACGAGGGATGACCCACGGCAGATGAACCAGCTGCCCCAGTGCCAGCGGGGACCGAGCCCGTGGGTCCCTGCCCCACAGCTGCCACCCTGCCGCGCCGGGGAGCTGGCACAGGTGCTCGGGCTGCACCTCTGGGGATCTGCGTGTGCCCAACTCCCCTGCCGTGGCCTTGCGGAGCCCTGAGGAAGTCTCGGAAGCTCATTAAAGAAATGTTAGTGGAGCTGCAAAACCTCTCGGGATCAGGTTTCACCTCTGGGCTAGGGTTAGGATGCAAAGAAGTTGGTTATTTATATCTTTCCAGGGAAAGAGCCTATTTTCTCTTTCCAGCATCTCATCCAAGCCTGGCCTAGCAAAGCTCGTAGGCGTGTGTGTAGGTCTGGGGGTTTGTCCGCTTGTCCTTAGGGAGAGGAGAAACCCCTTGGGAAGTGGATGGTTGCTGCAGAGCAACGGGGCCCAATGGCTGCTGAGCTGTTCGCTGGGGTGTCCGGGTCCTTAGTGGTGACGGAACTTTAAACCCAGCAGTAACCTGGTGTTGAGATTTTATCTGCATTTCTGAGCTGCGAGCTGGTCTTTAAGAGGAGGACTCATGTCTCCTGCGTTTGGAAACATCTGATCTCTGCTGCGCACTACGTCAGCTTTGCTACCGTCATGCTTCTTGTGAAGAGAGAGGAGTTGCTGGAACTTGACCTCTCCTCCCACCCCGACGTGGGGGAGGCAGGAGAGGAAGCGCTGGCAATTAAAGTGGGGCCGGGCTGTCCCATGGGTGCTGGCTCCACGCCCCACCCCACGGCTTTGGGAGGAAGGTTGCCTTCACCGTCTGCGTCCCACCCCGGGATGCTCATCCCAAGACTTTGCCGTTGCTGCAGGGTCACTCGGTCCCGGCGCTGGGTGGGTGATGGTGGCCAACGTTGGGTCACTGGTGCTTTGCTCCTGGTGTGTTAACCGGCCCGGCAAGCTCTGGACCATCCGAGATGCAATGTGGGACGGATTTGGGAGGGAGCCCCAGTGTCCCAGTGAGGTTTTTCCCACCCCACCGTGGTGGGGCAGGACTTGATGGGTGTAGCAGGGCGCTCTGCTGGCCCAACAGCTGGCTTCTTGGGCAAGCGCCTCGGCCGGCAGCGAGCCAGAAGCCGTGCCAGGAGCCGGTGGCGGAGCCACCCTGGGAACTCCCGGCAGCTATGCTCTCCGCCTGGGCTCCAACAGGTTCATTCGGTTTCTCGGCAGATCTGCCGGTTGCGTAAGGTCGGGGAGATGCAGCCGCCGCCTCCTTTCCCCCGGCCAGAGCTGGGTTCAAGACGCTTCCCTCCTCACCCCGACCACGTCCCTGCTGTGAGCTGGAAAATCGGGGATCCCAGAGCCTCGGGGTGGGAGAGGGTTTCCAGGGGGGACCGGGGCGTGCAGGATGTTTGCTGCCAAAGGGGAGTGTGAGTTTCCCTGTTCCCTGCAATGCAAATCCCCTTGGGCTGAAAAATCCTGCAGCTCAGTGAGTGAGGTTCAGGAGGAAAAGTCCTCCCTTCCTGCAGAGATGCACCGGGCCCCAGATTTGCATGTTTGCAGTAAAAAAAAAAAAAAAAAAAAAAAAAAAAAAAAGCTAGGGGTGAATAGGCTCAGAGCTGAAACTGGTTCCCCAAACCTCTCCCACGAGTGTCTATAATAAAAGGGATAATTACAGAGTTAGCTTTTATTGTCGCAGCTTCAGCTGCAGCTTGTGGTTTGGGGAGGAGTTTTACGGCTTTTTATTTATTTTTTTTTTAACAGCGGGATAAATGGGGATCCTCAGTTGGAAGGCATCTTCAGACACCTTTGCTCATTAAAATATAAATTAAAAGTGGTAAAGCAATTAAGTCGTATTATTTTTTTTTGAACAACGTGAGCTCGCTCATGGGTTACTGTGGGAGAGGCTTTGCCAAGTGCCACGTGCTGTGGAGGGGGTTTGTGGCTGGAGACCCTGCGAGGATGATCAGGAAATATCCCGGCAGTGCCTGGAGGGCTTCCAGTTGAGGAGGGGTTGGGACCTGCCGTCACAGATGCTGGGCAGAGCTCCTCAGGCTGGGAATGGCATCTCAACCCCGTTGAGGTATGGCGAAGGTGGGCAACATGGAAAGACGAAGATATTTTGTTCTCTGCAAACCCCTCCGTGTCCTTCCAAGCTCAACACACCACTCAGAGTGAGGTAAAATGACTTTTAAGCAGGTTTTAAAGTCATTTTCTAGGTCTTTTTGAATTGACATAAAACTGATTTTATAACCCTGCCAAGGACTAATGCTTTCTGGTTGTGAAACAGTTTTGGACAACCCAAGTCAAACCTCCTCTGAGCAGGAGGTTGAACCCGAGTGCATCTGAGGGTGTGATTGGGAAACCACGTTTTTGTTGGAATTCAGTGAACCAAGCACCTGCCGTCAGGCTCAAAATGAGTGATTTAGTTAAAACAAGGGTCTCCCTCGAGGGTGTGACACGTCAAGGAATTTGTAGCGCTTTGTCATTGCCATAAGAAGCTCAGAAAGGCCCGTGATAAGTTGACAGTTGCAGCTGAGGGAATTTGATTTGGAGTTGGGCTTCCAACACCAACAATAGCTTTGTTTTTCTTAGCTCTCGAGGGAGTGTTTTGAGGCAGGTCATGGTGGTGGCAAAGGTAGGAGGGGGGCCTTCCAAGCCCTAAAACAATGAATAGAATAATAATAATAAAAAAAAAAAAATCTCTCTCCGCTCTCCTGACACCCAGCCCACTTCCTGAGCACATAAAAAGGGGCCCTCAGCCACTGCACCCACAGGACTCACCTCCTCTTGCCTCCGAACCTCCTCCTGTGCACCGCACCACGCGGCTCTTCCCTCTTCACGGGTTTACTCTTGGGGACCTGTCACCATGTCTCGCCAGTCCTGTGGCCTCAGCAAGGGATTCAGCTCCAGCTCCGCTTGCTTTGGAGGGAGGAACAAGGTCGTGTTCAGCTCTGTGTCCCGTGGAGGATGCAGAGGACCCGGCAACGCCGGTGGCTTCAGCAGCAGGAGCCTCTATTGCTTGGGAGGGAGTAAAAGTACCTCTCTGGGAGGATTCGGTGGAGGTGGTGGTGTCTGCAGAGGTTTTGGGGCTGGTGGCCAAGGAGGCTTTGGCTACGGCTACGGTGCTGGGGCAGGACTCGGTGGCGGCTATGGTGGTGGGGCCGGTGGCATCTTCGGTGGAGGCCTCTGTGGTGGATTTGGTGGCTTTGGTGGAGGATTTGATGGTGGGATGGGAGGTCAAGGCTTTCCCCCTTGCCCACCGGGCGGCATCAGGGAAGTGACCATCAACCAGAGCCTGCTGGCCCCGCTCAACCTGGAAATCGACCCCGAGATCCAGAAGGTGCGAGCACAAGAGCGGGAGGAGATGAAGCAGCTCAACAACAGATTTGCTTCCTTCATTGACAAGGTGAGAGTGGCTTCAACCGGGGGCTGGGGGGTGGAGGTCTGAGCTCACCGTGGCTCCTGCTGGTTGCAATTGCTGGGAGATGCCCATCCAATAATACCCAGAGAACCAGGCCTTGCCCAGACCACCCCAAAGAACCCCTGCAGCCAGAGAGATGGTGGCTGGAGAAGTGAATTTCCCAAGGTTATGGAGAAACCCAGGAATAGGATCCGTAGTTCTTAAGACCATGATGCTGGTGCTGAGCTGTGGGACCATGTACCGACACGCAGAGCGTCCTCAGAGGAGCCTCTGCTGGTGGACTCCGTCCGTCTGGGGGCTGAAGGACTTTGGGCCTTGTTTTAAGGAGATGCCAAAACGATGAGGTTCACCTTGTTTCTCCTGTTTAGAGGCTGTGAGATTGGAGAGGGAAGGTGACTCACCTTTGCCCACTCATCCTAGAGCTGTGGTCCCACCCATCCCAGTGGGACCCTGGAGTTATTGCTCGCTGGAGAATAGACAGGAAGGTTAATCTCATGAAGTGGGAAAAAAAAAAAATGGAAAACATAGAAAACAAATCAACAAAACGATGCTTTTGGGAATAGTCTGACTCTTTTTCTACCTACCCCTACAATCACTTAGGTCCGGTTCCTAGAGCAGCAGAACCAAGTCCTGGAGACAAAGTGGAAACTCCTGCAGGAACAGGGTGGCACAGGGGTGGGTCGCAGGAACCTCGACCCCATTTTTGAAGCCTACATCAGCAGGCTGAGGACGCAGCTGGACGGCCTCTCAAGCGAGAAGCATCAGCTGAATTCAGAGCTGAAGAGCTTCCAGGATATGGTGGAAGACTTCAAGACCAAGTACGTTGTTCTCGGTTGTAGTCATGGTTGGGCTGTCTGGTGGTGAAAAAATAGAGGAAACAACTTTGAACTATCAGAAAATGGAAAAAAAAATCATGAGAATTGGCAGTATTTCCCTTGCTTCAATGATTAGAAAATGTGGAAGGTTTGGGGGAAGTTTTCATCCACTGAGTTTTGACAGTAAATGGTAAATTTTCAAGGGATTTCTCAACCTGCACTGTTGCTGAGTTGTGCTCCTCACTAAAGCAGGATTCTCTACTGTTTGTCTTCCTCACTTACGAGTCCATGACATTAATATTTAATGAACTAATTAGATCACTTGCTAAATCCTACTATAATTTCCTCACGGATTTCCTCATGGATTCCTTCCCGTAATATCCTTCAGGATTTGAAGCTTAGAGCTTTCTTTGGAAGGGTGATGTGGGGTTAAAAAAAAAAAAAACCAAAAACAACAGACATTATTTTCCTGCCATTATTTATTAGATTAATTTGTCTGGCTGGAAAAGCAAGAACAAAGCCTGGAGAAATGCTTCCACTGAAGGAGCTATGAAAAATGTCAGGAAAGAAAGTCTGGGACTCATCAGGATCAACCGCGCTCTACTGAGGCCGCAGGTTGAAAACTGACTTGGTTTTGGAGAACATCTTCACCACTCCACACTCTGCAGCAGCTCCCTGCCCCAGTCAGCAGGTGGAAGTGGCCCATGTTGAGAACCTGAAGGTCCTGGGGTCTTGTAGAGGGAGTTGGAGTGGCCACAGCCCCCAGGGTGTGGTTTAGGCAGAGATAAAACTCTTTGCGGGTTTTTTTCAGCAAGGCATTGGAGACAGCAGGAGCCAGGGCTGGTCTAGAGAGGAGAAGTGCTGTTGTTTTTCCGTAAATCTCGCTCGTGGCGTGTCTGTTTTTGCTGCGTTCGCTAGTCTGAGGCCAACAACATCTAGTTGCCAGCAGCATCCATGGCCAAAATAAGCAGAGAGATTCAATCGCCCTCGTTACAATCAACAGGTACGAAGAGGAAATAAACAAAAGGACGGCTGTGGAGAATGATTTTGTGCTCCTAAAAAAGGTAAAGTTGGGTGGTTGGTTTTTTTTTTTTTTTTTTTTCCTTTAAACACAAGGACACATCTTGGTTCAGAGGATGTCTTGCTTCCATCAGCACTGGTTTGTTGACATCAGATGTGAACCGGGACCCCTAGGTGTACGTGCCGTAGGGAAAGGAGCACCGAAGGGCTCACAGTTAAATAAAAGGCTGTGCGTCGGGTGGAAGGTTTTCACTTCCCGTTTCTGCTGCAGGACGTGGATGCAGCCTATATGACCAAGGTGGATCTTCAGGCAAAATCAGATTCTCTGGCAGATGAGATAAACTTCCTGAAGTATCTTTATGAGGTGGTAAGTGCTCTGGCTGCTCGCTGGAGGGGGAATGCTGGGGTGGGGAAGGGTTGTGACCCTCAGGAAATTATGACAGGGGCTAAAGTCAGATCCGGTGTGAATTGCAGGAGCTGTCTGAGATGCAGAAGACCGTTTCCGACACCTCTGTGGTTCTCTCCATGGACAATAACCGAAACCTGGACCTGGACAGCATCATCGCAGAGGTCAAAGCCCGCTACGAGGAGATCGCCAACAGGAGCCGAGTGGAGGCTGAGTCTTGGTACCAGTGCAAGGTGGGTGTGTCGCACGTCGCTTGTGATCACCGATGGCTGAGGAGGTGGAGGGGTTATTGGTGATAGCTCAGAGCATGCTGGGGCCTGGGCTATGGCTGGTACTGGTCTAGCCAGGCTGGAGTCAGCGTGCACATGCTCCCTTTGGTTCTGGAGGGTGATACGGAGAGCTGTTGGGAGCAGCCACACGTGGTGGCTCTGATGTTCTCCCCTCACTTCTGCCCACCAGTATGAAGAGCTGCAGGCTACTGCAGGCAAACACGGAGACAGCCTTAAGGACACAAAGGCTGAGATCTCTGAGCAAAACCGCACGATCCAGAGGCTACGGGCTGAGATAGAGAGCGTGAAGAAACAGGTAGGGGTTGCATTTTTCAAGAAATGGGTGTGAGCTCTTGGTAACGCCCTTCAGAGCTTCCCTAAAAGCAAATAGTCTGGTAACAGTCATTGTAAGCAGGAGGGGGCCTGTTGTATTTGCGAACAGCTGAGACCAGCTGATCTGGGATCATGGCTTCATCTCCAAGTGGCTGCCCCTGCCCCACGCATCTCATCCATGTCTTGCCCTCCAGTGTGAAACGCTGCAGAGCTCCATTACGGATGCCGAGGAGCGCGGGGAGCTGGCCCTCAAGGATGCCAGGGCCAAACTGACTGACCTGGAGTCAGCCCTACAGAAAGCCAAGGCTGACATGGCCCGGCAGCTCCGCGAGTACCAGGAGCTGATGAACGTCAAGCTGGCCCTGGACGTTGAGATCGCGACCTACAGGAAGCTGCTGGAGGGCGAGGAGTGCAGGTGGGGATACAGCAAGAGCTTGACTGCACCCTGCTAAATCGACGGGAAAAATGCGGCACATCACACCTCCTCTGTTAAAATATTTACGGTGTTGCCACTAGCCACGGACTGCAGTCCTATAGCTGCTGTTATTTGTGCCCACGGACCAAGCTGGCTTCATGGAGCTGGGCTGGCCCAGATGCTCTGGCCGGAGCTGATGCTCTGTCTCCTTCCCTTGCAGGATGTCCGGAGAGTGTCAGAGCACCGTGAGCATCTGTAAGTAGCGTTCCCACGGCTGGGATTGATGCTCCAAAACTCTATGGTGGCGTCAGGAGTAACCTCGTGCCTTCTATTCCTCCCTGCAGCTGTGGTGGGAGGCAGCAGCAGCTCTGTGGGAGGTGGATACGGCGGCGGACTGTGCCTTGGAGGAGGACTCGGAGGACTCGGATTCGGTGCTGGAAGTGGGAGAGGCGGTGCTGGCTTCAGCTACAGCCTAGGAGGGGGTGGATGTGGTGCAGGGGGTGGATTTGGTGCAGGGGGAGGATTGTGCTCTGTGGGTGGAGGGTGTAACTCAGTGGTGGTGGGCTCTGGCACCGTCCTGAAGAAGAACACCACCTCTATGTCTGTCAGCCGGAGGGTCTAGGGAAGTGAGTTATCCCCCCCCCATCCCCAGCACCCAAAGGAGAAAGGAAGCAAATTTCATGGTGACCAACCCCCCCCATTCACTGCCTAGGTGATGGCTACCTACTTCATTTTAAGCCACCACCATCCTTCAGAAACTGCACGGGAAAGTAAAATACGGCTCCATTCACCAGTCTGGGATGCTCAGCAGTGCTTGAGGACAGCTCACTCCCCCCGAGACACGGCCAAGCTGCTGGTGATCGGGGTGCTGAGGACTCCTTTGGAGGCAGGACCTGCCCCTTCTCTGGGAAGCCCCAAACACGGCTGGGGGAAGGCGAGGTCCAAGTGCGAGGTTCCTCTCAGGGGACTGGTCCCTGCGCCGCTCAGGGAACTGGTGTCCTGTGAAGCCTGCGGGGAGCCTTGACTTCTGTCAAGATCTTGTGCTGGATCCAGATGTGGTGCAATTTTAATCGGTGCTACTCATCAGCCAGGGCTCGAACTCCAAAACAAGAATTTCCTAATGGTGACTAGTCCCAGCTGAAGACATTTCTTACTCTGCTGTAATTTGTTTTGTGTTTTTTTTTTTTTCTTTTCTAAGCAAGATACTGGCAGTTTCACCTGTGTTTTTTATAAGCTATTGTAAAATGTTTAGTTTTGCTCAGAGTTTACCTTTTCATTGAGATCATGGGAAGAATTGTGCTTGTTTGCTTAGGCCTTTCTCCTTTGGCATGTGGCATACCCCAATAAACACTAGAGGCAGTAAGCTTGTGTGGTTTTCTCTCTGACCAAAGGGTTTCGTGTTGCAACAAGACTCCTCTTTTGCTGAGATCTAAAAGTGTTACCTGACTTTCTCTTGCCCTTTGAAGTTTGCATTTAAAGAAACCAAAGCAAACGTGTAGCCCGTTCTTCTCACCCACCTCTCTACAAAAAAATTTGTATGGTTTGTAAGTTTGGCAGGAGGATGAAGGAGGTCTTGCAGGGATGAGGTGTTTGGGGTGGCAAAATTGCTGGGTCAGGCCCTGTGTGATGGTCTGATCCAGCCTCTGTGAAACACACGGGGTTTTCTTGGATGATATCCGTGGGAACAAGCCCATTCTGGGCAGCGTGGCAGGAGAGAAAGAGGCAGCTGGGTTGAACCTGGATGCTCTTCTCCTTCTGCTGGCACTCCTGGAGTGAGTGGGCCGTTAGAGCAGGACAGACTTTCGGACTCGGTTGATTTTAGGAGACCGTTCACTTGCTGTTTCTCTTCCTAAGCTCTTTCCTCTCGCGTTGGCCAGCTTGGGATAAATCTCTGACTGGCCACCGCCTCCAAGCCCACCACTGGCCTCCACCCATGCTTCCCTGTTCTCCAAGGTGGTGCCAGTGCTGTGGTGCCCACAGCTGGTGCTGGCATGACAAAGACATTGCACAGCCCTAAGTGCTTCTGGAGCATCCTATAAGGGACGGTGTGGAAGTGGGCAGGGTGATCATCACCCCTGCAGCTAATTCAAAGCTAATTCCTCAGCATCCATAGTGCTGGAGCCAGCCTTGCAGCTTTTACTGTTGTCTGGACTGGCCAAGGATCCATGGGTTGTTTTTAAAGCAGCCACAAAAGGTAACTGAGACCATGGGAAGAGCCAGATCCCAACCCCCTGTCAAGCCCTACCTCTCCACAAAAGTAGAATATTTTTGATGACCTGTAAATTTAGAGCCAAAAACTCCTGGTGTGGTTTGACCTCTCGCTCAGGAGACCTTGAATCACATCCCCGGTCAACCGCAGACTCGCTCTGCGATCCAGATGAGTCATTTAATTTATTCCATGCTCCGTTCCCTGTTTGTAAGTGCTTGAGACATAAACCTACCAGAGACTGTGGAATGTCACAACGCTGCCAGCAAAGGCATGTAACTACTTGGATGGGGAGATGGTTTGGGCAATGGTTAAATATTCGAGTGAGTTGTGAAGGGACCTGAGATGGCGTTGAATGAAAAGACATCTACTTCCCTCAGAGTCACCCCAATCTAGCTGCCTCTGTGTAAACTTGCCTCCAGCAAATGACTCCTGACATCGGGGCAGCGTGATGAAGAGACAAAAGGCTTCTAGATGTGTACAAACGCTGTAGTTAAAACAAACAGACACCAAAAAAAAAAAAAAAAAAAAGGCCGAGATGTGACATAATTTCTGCCTTTTGTTGGAGGAGCGAAAACATTTTACGTGGCCTGAAATAAGTTTCGTTTAATTTCGTCATGATTTCCTCCCGTTTTAGAAGCCTCTTCTAAAGCACAGTGAAAGCGCTCAGATGTCAAGTGTTTGATGGGAAGTGTGGGAAAGAAACGCTTTGCTTTGTTTTTTCCCCCAGAAATTCTCCCTTTCTGTGGTTGAAGGCTTTTCTTAAGTCAACTGACAGTGCTGCTGCTGTGAAATGAGCCTTTTCCTCCAAGTATTCAGGGCTTGAGCAGCTTTTCCCGTATTCCTGCCTGTTTATTTTCATAGAATCATAGAATAGTTTGGGTTGAGAGGGACACTTAAAGGTAATTTTCCTTCATCAGGGCTTTGGGTACAAAGATGTTTGAGATCCCCGCAGTCTGAAGCTGCCTGTTGCATTTGAAGCGGGCAATGATGTTGATATCCAAATCCTGGTTTGATTTCCTAAACTTGGCTGGAGATGTGGCCGTGACTCAATGACGGCGTTATCTAAACACGGGTGCTCGGGACTCAAGCATTGTGCTGACTTAATGCATCTCCTCCCTCCCAGCGCAGCTGGGAACGCGAAAAGTTTCTGATCGCGTCGTCCCACCCACAGAAAAAAAGGAAAAGCCAAAAAAACCCCCCCAAAAAACCGTAACCGCGTTATTTGGCAATGCAGAGGGAGGCAAGGGAAGGCATTGTCAAATGCGTGTGCATCTGTGGTGTGTTGCGTACGCGTGATTATATCTATATTATATCTGCAGCAGCTGTAAACCCACAGCACCCTCCTGAACCTTGTGGTGTGGCAGGCGGCGGCGGAATGTATTTGACTGATAAATCAGAAGTGGAGCTCGTTCACAGCCCGGGTCCGTGGAGACAGCGCTGCCAGGTCTTGCCTGCGATTTGCCTCTCCTCTAGACGGGAAGGGCTGTTGAGAGACGACTCTTGCCTTTGCCCCATGAGGGGATCAGATGTTTGTCAAGTCTTTTTGGCTCATGGTTGCAGTGATGTTTGTGGTTGTGCTTCAGAACCTCCCAGTCCGGGCAGGCGTTTGTCCCAACTGTGGCATTTAGGAGACAAAATCTTGCTGAAGACCAACAAGCCACCCAGGGCCTCCTCAGCCCACATATTTATTGTCTATACGCCACGCCGTACAACCACCAAACCCCCTGTCCTCCCCATCCCTTTGGTCTCACGGTGACTTCTTGTTATATTTTTTTTTTTTTTCCCAGCCCTACCTCCCTCCTGACCCGCTTCCCCGCGTGCCAATGCTGGGGAGGGAGGTGGGATGAGGGGGCTGTGCAGGGAACAGCTGTGGAAATGCCAGTTTAGCTGCATGTTACGCCACGGCCCGGGTCCCTGGGCACTTTTGGAAATTGGTTTCTGGGTGATATTTTTGGAGGTATTTAAACACCTGAAGATACCAAGAGTTGTTAGTGTGGATTTTCAAGAAGCACTTCATTAATTGCCCGTGTCCTATGGGAACTTCCGAGAACCTTGCTAGACAGCTGCCAAGCACAGTTAGATGCCTCAACAGTCATAAAGATTTTTGAACTTCGAAATTTCTCAGGTGGCTAATGAAAAAAAGAGGAATCGGAAAACATAAACGTTTAGAAATGAGGCAGTAATCGTTATTTGATAAGCAGGCCGCTGCAAGACGACGGGATGAACGCATGATGGGTCATAGACTTTTCATTGCAAGGTTAACTCATAAGCTAATCCTCCCTCCGTACGGCACCAAACCCGAGGTGTTCTGATGAGCTTCTGCCTTTCTCAAATCTGGCGAGTGCTTTTAAATAAGCTTAACAAGGCTACCTACCCCGGTTCTTGAAGGAAGGCTCAACACAGCTTACAAGCGCCCGTCTGCCAGAAATTTATTTGCATATAAATACTGAAGTAAGCCAGGTAGCTGAAAAACACGCATTTCCTCAAGCGAAAGTTATTGTGCCCTCTGTTCTCCTCATTTCTCTGTGTCTCTACAAATGAGTTGAGCTCTCCAGCATCCTCTGCCTAGCTAATTGCATTTAAATGGTTACAGGACTTATTATGTGGGCAGCATGATTTTGCATGCCTCCTTCTCGCTGTCTATTCTCAGAGCTGTCTGTCCTTCCGTCCACACTTCCCACCGTGGCAGACGGGTTCCTGATGTCTTTTCTGGCTCTTTGCGTGGTCTTGAAGCCTTCAGAAAATCCTAAAGGGATTTCCCATCTGTGATATTCGTGGCGTTTCTGCACTGGTGGCTGAGACTATCTTGGCATGAAGACTCCAGGACTCACTTTCAGCAAGAGCTCGATCCAACAATAAATGAATTTCCTGTGCCAACCATTGCTCTGCTATCTTGTTTCTGGTAAGGTTTTATTTATCGAAAAGCTGCAGAGCCTCATCAAAATGCAATTTGCTGAGCCCTGGCTCTAGATTGAGAAACTACTTCTCAAAGCCAAAGGCAATTTTCCATGTAAAAAGAAGACGAAGGGTGTAACATAGGTGTGTTTTGGGAATTGTGAAAGCCATGCTACAACTTGGCATGAACTACAGCACTTGCCTGCCATGGGGCTTTGGAGTGAAAGATCATAATAAAGATAAACTTAAGCAGGGAAACAACCACAATGGATGAAAGGTGAAAGAAAAAAAAAAAAAAAAAAAAAATCCTAGGGAGACTGCTACTATACTGCAAAAGCATAAAACTTCTTAGTCATTGAGTGTTACCATTTGGTAGACACGGTTGTATCTTTTTTAATTTTCTCCTGCATTATAGGGTGTGTTTCTGGGTAGGGTCAGTGTTTGGCAAATTGAAGATGAAAATCTGTAAACCACGCCACACTGATGAAGACAGTAACTGTCTCCTCCTTCACGCCCAT